GCAATTCCATTATTTTATCTTAGTAGTTAGAAGCTTTTAATTGCCATATTCTGCCCTACTTGGCTGGTTTTGTTTATTTATTTTACACTTATGTTTATTTTTTCTGTATCAATAGACCTGATGCTGTCATTTTAATGCTTAAACAATTGGTGTAAAATTTACAGTGCAATGGTTTTGGCAAGTCATTGTTGACAAACTGGAGATCCTGAATGTTTGTCTGCACTGAAATCAGGGCGTGCAGCTGGATCAGGTCATGTTTGTGCAGAATATGGCATTCCCTGGATGGTTTGGATCCCTTACACCGTAAGGGAATGCTGGTGATGAAAGAGCTGACTGGATTTTTAGTTACCACGCAAATGTGGTTCGTGAAGGTGTTTATCTACAGTACATGAAATTTCCATAGTTTTCCTTACAAATCAGCAGTTATATCTTTGGAAATAGCAGGATGATATAATGCCTGTATGATTTAATTTATTAAAACATGCTGATATCAGTTGAATTAAATTTAACATGTAACCTTTCCTAACCTTCAGTTTTATAACTGAGTGCTGAGTTCAGACTGATTTGCTGCTCAATAATAGAACTGATTTCAGTAGTACTGAAGAGAAACACCTCTTGCTTTTCATTGTTCCTCAATTTAGGTGTGTTTTATTTTGTAGATGGAATTGAAAATTGAGTGCTTATTGCTGGTTGGTGTCAGTGTTCCTCCAGCACAGGGTCACTGGGTTGGTGGCTGTGCTCTAGGATGGGATTCTGCTGCTCCTGCAGAAAGATTTGGGCTGTGACTGGAGTCTCCATTAATAGTAATAATAATAATAATAATAATAATAATAATGACCCTGAAGTGGATCCCTGTGCTGCTGCCTGTAAATCTTCTGATGACAGAAAAGATCCTTAATTCTCACCTGAAAAGCTCAGACTGAGCTTGTTTTGCTGCTCAGTCTCCTTTAGCTTCTGTTCCAAATTCAGACACCTCAAAAGCTGACCAGAAGCCACATAAAGCTGTGGATTTTGCTGTGCTCGTTGGCAGTGAAGTCTGGTTCACATTAACTGTGGACTAAGGCACCTGAGCCCACGGGTTGATTTTGGTTTGGCTGCTCTGCCCCTCTCTGCCTGGAGATCCCGTGTGGGCGAGCGGCAGCTCCTGAGCTGCCTGTTTGTGTGTCCAGGAGGAATGACTGCCGGGGGCAGCGGGAAGGGCCGAGGGGCCAAGCGCAAGCAGCAGGACGGAGGGACCACGGGGACAGCCAAGAAAACACGGAGGTGAGAGCAGGGGTGCCGTGAGGGGACGGGGATGGGCACGGGTACGGGCACAGGGACAGACATGGGCACGGGGACAGGCACAGGGGTGGGCACAGGGAT